GAAAGTAGAAAAATAGGAATCATAGCTATTAAAGTTTTACTTTAGTTCCGAGGGAAGTTGTGTATCCTCTTGTGTTTTAGCACTCTATCAACATATACTGAGACAATCTAAGCCAAAAAAAGTGCTAGTACCATGTGACGGTTATCCCCTAATTTAACTTCATATGGACCAGCCCCAAAAGTAGTAAAAATTATCACTACCTATTTCAATTAGTTTAAGCCAAATACCTCCCATTTTCCAGATTCCTGGTCACAGACCAAACACGACTGAATTACAAAGAGCACTTTACACACACAAACACACACACAATCACAAAAAGAGTAGATTCCAGATGCTAGTGCTATTTTTTTCATTAAGGGGGTGAAGCAGCAATGTATGAGAATTTTACGAGGGAGCTCGGAGTAGCCCACTCCTCACTCACATCTCAGCTCAAGAAGGGCCTTGCCTGAGAATCCTAGGGCAACTCATCCCATGCCTGCTTCAGTCCTCTGTCCATGGTCTTCATAGCATTGTCAGTATCTACAGTCAACAACTTAGTTCTTATTGTTTTTGTTGTCTATCTCCATCCTTCCACTAAATTGTAAACTTTTTAAATCCAATTGTTCATTATTTATTAAATGAAATAATGAATGATGCTTGCATTAATTTGCTTCTGCAGTTTTTCTCCTGGATTCTGGATTTCCCTCTCAAATTCTCTCTAGAAGCTAGAAAATACCTGGATTTTCCCCAGCTTCATCAGAGATGGAGCAATTAATGCTACTTCATGATATATGTGCTCACTATCCCTCCTACCCTGAGTTATTTATTTGTAAACAGTTAACCCAAGATAAGTTTATCTCAGTACAGTCTAGAAAGACACTTCCTAGTTTAAGTGGAATTTGTCTTGTCCCTGCCAGAAGACACTTTCTGTAGAGAACCACAACTTTGCTATCCCCTTTGAAAGATGAAAAGCTGCATCAAATCCTATATCTGGAAAAGAGGTAGAAAATCAAAGCAGGAGACTACTCTCAAGACAGCTTGAGCTAACAAGTGGAAGTTCAACTTGTTCCAAAAGAAAAATAATTATTTTTCACCAAGGTGAATTATTATTTTGTCTGTCATGATGAGGTCTGTAAAGCGGTGAGGGGTAATTATGTAAAGTATCATCACTAGCTGTTGTCTGTTTGGAAGGAGGCTGTACAAGGAAGAAACAAATGTCCTTAAATAGACTGTGGGCTCCTTGAGGGTACGGGCTGTATATCATATTTTTTGGGTCCCATGGGTGGCTAGTCTAATGTATTGTGACATAAGGTAATATTAAATATGCATTAAATTGATGATACATTTGAAGGATTGAGCTGTTTTTCAATGTAAGAAAAATTCTGATGATTGGGGAGTTAACTAAAGCTAGAACTGGTTCAGGAGACAAGGCAGTAATTTTTTTCTCTAAATTTCTTTTCAAAAGAGAACAAATTCTAGGCCACTTCTCCTAATGCATGATTTTTTCCCCAAATATAATAAAATGCATACATTTTCATATGCATGTCTTTTCTCAAGGTCCCTCCAAAACGTGACCATCCCATACATTAAACCATATTTAACAAGAACAAATTGTAGTAGAATTAGTTGTTAATAAAAGGCAATCTCTCTTCTACTCATTGCAATTGAAAATACAGTAGTTTTTATGAAAAAGTCCCTGGATTCTAGAACCATAAATGACATTAAAGTGACATGGTTCCAACCTTGGTTTTGCAGAGTAGACCTTGTTCTGGAGAGACAGAGTGAGAGGTCACACACCTTCCCAGGCTTAGCGGCAGGACTGCACTTCCTCAGCAATGAGAAGGGAAGGTTTGAGGATTGAAGTGGAGTTTGTACCTGAAGGCTGATTTTTAGTATCTGAACATGAAGACAAGACACACAACAGAATTCTTCCTAAACTAGTATCTTCTCAAAGGGGGACGTTTTTGAAGAGAAAGAGGGGAAGAAGGAAAGGGACAAAGTCTCATAAAGACAGCTAATTTTACAGTCTTAAGTAATCAATGAAAATACCAGAAATGTATGATCACCACATCTTAAGTTGCTTATTTCCTGAATGGCCCTGGGATGGATGAATTTCATTTGGAGGCTTACTTACAAATAAAAGGTATTCAATTTGAAGAGTGGTTTATTATAACCAAGTAGCTTATGATACTTTTGATTGTGAGTCACAGAAAGAAATATATTTTACTTCGCATGTCAGCACACACATATGTATTCAGAAGAGACACAAGTTTCAAGAAACCATGCTCACACTTGTCACAGGAGAGGAGCTCTGCTATACTCTATTCAATTCCACTTCATCTTTAAAATGTAGCTGTGCCCACCAAAACTGATTTTGGTGCCCACCAATGGGTCTCATGGCTTTTCCAGAAACACTACCAATTCCCCTCACCAGACCGTCCCAGGTTAACAGCCATCCTGCAAGGATCTACAACACTGTATATATATAGAAAATATTTTGATAGTGTTAGGACACTTGTAGAGTTCAGGTTCTGTACATTCCAAGTGCTTCTAACAGGCATGGACCCCTTTGGTGCTCAATAAACATCGGTTGCTGACAAAGTCAATTTCATCCTGAAAGCCTCATCCTTGACCCCACTTCTATCACATCACCTTCCCTGAAATCTTCTGCCTATAGAGAGCTCTGTTCTTTCCCTCTAATATTGTCTCTAACACAATTAACACTTTACTCAGTCTGGGTCTCTTATGCCTATACCACCAAAGGTTTAAGGTTTATAATACATCCATGCCATTTTTCACAATAATGTACCACACATCTTCAGTAGCTTTAGGGAACCAAACACATCGTGTCAGCCTGTGATGTAGGGTGCCCTAAGACTAACTCCAACAGGCAACTCTCCCTGTGCTCGCTGTCTCCCACCATGCGGAGGACAGCAGCGCCAGAGGACCACCCTCTGCACAGAGCTGCATCAGCCACTCAGCAAAAATCTTCCTGCTGCAATGCTAGTTTTCTATGATTTGAGCTACAACAAGAAAATTCTCAATGTTTGGTCCCCAGCAGTTGATCAAAGGAAATACTCAAACTTTAGGAGTTCTCTGCTTGTTTGCACCAAAAAAGGGTAATTAAGGTTTTGAAAGAAGTTTTTTAAAAAGGGCATGCCAGGGGTTGGTTGGTCAGTAGCAGCTGGGAAGCAGGGAGCTTTTGAACACAGGACTGATGTCAAAGCACAGAATGAATATTTATATCTAAACCCTGAATTCAGAACATTTCCAGTACAGGTTTGGTTTGTGTTACTCTGTGTGTCTGCATGTGTTCATTTGTAAGATTCCTCTCCCATTGTCCAGCTTTCTTTCCTAGTCACTCTTCTTTTAACTGCTGCCAACACCAGTCCCATTTAGATCCCCAGAATAAAGGGACTGTAGGATATTCCCCTGCTGTGGGGCGGTGCTGTAGGGTTTGAATGCATGGTGAGTCACACACATCCCTCTGGGTCACCAGACTGGAGGTGGCAGGGAGGGAGGGTTCCTATGGAGGAGGGAGAGAGCCTGGAAAACAAAACCTCTGGAAGGTCTGGTAAGAGAGCTGAAATCCCCCAGTCACACAAATTAGGGGTCCCTGAAGTCCTCCCGGGATAGAGAGTGGGTGCTCAAAATAGGACAAAGACACACGCACCTTTTCCTAGAGTAACTAATCTTCCAAGGAAGCTCTGACGATGGCTGAGTGCAGGTTGCAGTCCTGTTCACAGGGCACCTCTGTCACCTGAGTGCTTAGGAGAACCTCGCACTGCCCGGGGAAAGTGTGCTGTGTTGCCGTCTGGCTGTCCTCCCGTCCTATAACGTTACTGTTACCAGTATTTCCCCTGTGGAGCACACAGTTGGTAACCTGGGCAGGGCAACTCCACCTTGCGGTACCGGGACGCTCAGAATGCTTTTTTCTTAGCCCAACGCTCCTTGAATAGAGTTAGGAAAAAAGCGTCCGCTGCTGCCTTGCTCTACCCCGCGTGGGGCTAACGGGTGTTAAGGGCTGTGCATTCTTGGAAACAACTTGCCCGCTTCCAGGGCGCTCCCACAGCCCGGGTGGTGGCGCCCCGCCTGGAATTGGTTTGTCCCGAGCTCTGGCATCAAGGGCTTTAGATGGGAACAGGGGGAAGTAGCAGTCCCTGACTGCAAGTCTGACACTCCACACCCCCGTCTTCTCACACTGTCCCCACTGTGCTCACTCGCCCTGGGATACTGTGCCCACCAGCAGCCCCGGGCGTGAAGGGCGCTGTCCCCCCAATACAGCTTGCACCCCCAGCTCCGGACAGCTACCCAACTCCAAACGCTCTCCCAGGGCTTTCCGGACAGCCGTGGCCCCTCTTCTTATACCTCCTGCCCCCCAGCTCCTCTTCTTGCCTCCTCTCAGCGCCCCAGCTCCTAGGCACCCGTTTCCCACCCATCCCCACCCCATTTTCACTACCTCGCCCTCTACCAAGACCCTGTCTCCACAGGCTCCCACATGGTGCTGTCCCCCGAGGAGCGGCTGGAGCCTGGGGGCACAGTCACTGGGGTGCGTTCTTTCGGAGACTCACCTCCGACCAGAATCTGCATCCTCCGGGAAGGGGACAGGGCTCCCTGAAAGCTGTGACCGGGCACCGGCTATGAATCTCCCAGCCCAGATTGTCACCCAATCTCCCTCCATTCCTCCCTACCCAAGGTCTAACTGGAGTGGGTCCCTCGTCTGCTTCCCGTGTTTACGCCGCCTTCTAGTCTCCGTGACTCGTGGGGTGAGCCCAGTCCGGACTGGAGCAGAGCAGCCGCCGCGGGCGCAGCCCCACTCGCGGGCCTGGGCGATGGGGGCTGGCACCGAGGCGCTCGGAGCTCTCCTGCTCGCCCCTCCCTCTCCGGGGACAGGAGGGGGCGGACGCGGACGGGAGGGGCCGGGAGGGGGGCTGGCGCTCATCAATTCCGCGGCCACCTCCTCTGCTGCCGGGGCGGGGGGGGGAGGCGGACGGGGGGGTGGCGGGGGCGCGGGCGAGGATCAGGACTCTTAAGTCGGGAGAAGTTTGCGCACAGCTCACAGTTGGGCGAGGGAAGGAAGGTGCCGGGTAGGTGAGCCTCCTGGACTTTGGGGAGGTGGCAATTAAGCATGGGGAAAAGCAGTTGCCTTTTAGCCTGTAATACAAACCGGGGCTAGGTTTAAACCATCACTTAAGGCAGAATTAAAGTGTCAGGAGATCTGGAGGCGGCTGGGAGAGGGAGGGCTCCGGACTAACGCAGTTTGCTCTCACGTCAAACTAGGAAAGCCAGCCCCCCAGACGCTGGGTGGGCTGCGCCGCCCGGCTCGCGGACCTTCCTGACTTGCAGAGGGGCCCACCGTCCGCCCCTCACCGTGGGGCGGACATCTCCTGCTCAGGAGATGGGCGCTGTAGCTTGAGTTCCTGAGTCTCTGGAGCCACCACCTGCGAACGTCCTTCGCTACTCCTGAGCTGTGCCCGGCCGCCCACTGAGAGTATTCCAGGTAAGGAGGGTCTGGGAATGAGAGGGACTTACAGCTTTGAGGTTTCCCCGGCGATGGTTAACAGTGGAGATGTGAGATGTACCTTGTTTTTTGATTGCAAAACTGCAGCTTGATTGTGGTGGTTGAGGTGATGTAGGGTCAGCTTAGTCCCAGCCACTTCACTTTACCCTGCATTAAAGGAGAGAGTTGTCCTGGGAAGGTGCTACAATTTACGGTTTCATACTGAAGACTCCTCTGATTTTCTGTGACTTTTACTATGTTGTTAATATCAATTTTCCCTCAAAAGTTTTACTCTCCAACTTACTGTGTATGAAAATGTACGGGGCTGAAAGTTGTGGATTTTTTCCATAAGGTGTTTATTACCTAACAGACAATATCGGCACGTCTGTGATGTGTCGTGGTTGTTCTGGATATTGGAAATGAGTACAGTGGTAAACGGAGTTGCTTGTTAAGTCATGTTTTACAGAGAATTATTTTCCAACAATCATTTATGCATAGCAGCCATTCTTCACACCTATTAGGAAAAATATGTGGTGTGCGTAGTTTCCAAAAGGGTACTCTTTTTACATGATGCTCTTTCCAAGCCTGGGTGAAAACTATCAGGAAAAGCTCTAACAAATCAATTCTTCTTCCCAAAACATTCATTTTCTTTGCCGTCCAAGGAAATCTAATCAAAATAAAAAA